AAAAATAATTTGAATGAAAAAGGAAAAAAGATAAAAGAGAAAAATAATTTGAATGGCATCTCTTCAGAGCAGACATAAACACACTTTATAAGAATGCTGACCAGTTACTATTTTTCTCTTTCTACAGATGAGAGCAGCAGTCATTTAACTAATGAGTAATGGAGACAATAATGTTCCAAATTTTCTGCTTTAAATAACAAACCACTCATTTGAAAGATAATGATTAGAAGTCTTTTGTCTTAGTCTGATTTCTACTATTATATAAAAATACTTTAGACAATTATCTTCAAAAGGGGAAAGTTTTATTTTGGCTTATAGTTTTTGAGGCCTCAGTCTTGATCAGTTTAGTTCTGACATCTAGACCTACACACACACATATCTATCACCTGTGCAGAAGCTGGACATTCAATAGCAGGTGTAAAGTGAAGGAAGAAGGAGGAGGGAGAGACAGAGAAAGAAAGAGAGAAAGAGAACAGCAGACCAATATTTCAGTTTCCTTCAATGGTATGACTTTTGTGACCTATGATCTCCTTGTAGGCAGAAGCTTGTTCCTCCTCCTCCTCTTCCTCCCCCTCCTCCTTCTTCCTCTTGTTCTTCTCCTTCTTCCCCTTCTTCTCCTTCGTGTTCCTCCTCCTCCTCCTCTTCCTCTTTCTCCTCCTCTCCTCCTACTTCCTCTTCTTCTTCTTCTCTTTCTCCATCTTCCCCTCTTCTTCTTCCTCCTCCTCCTGCTCCTTCTGCTTCCCCTTCTCCTTCTCTTTCTCCTTCTCTCCTTTTTCTTGATCTCCCTCTTTTCCTTTTCTTTCCTTAATCCTTCTCTAGATTTCAATATGCATTTAAATTTTGCTAGCTAGGTAGGTTTCATGTTAAGTACTTTTAACACACACACAAAGTAGGATGAGGTGAAATTTTAGGAGGTTATGGATATGTCCTTGGACTTCAGTGTGCTTATGATTTATGAGTATATCTCCATGACCAAACATGGACTTACATATATTAAACATGTAGAGCTTCTTAGATGCCAATGACCCTAAATAAAGTGATTAAGAGAATTTTTTTTGTTGGTCATGGGGCTTGAATACTGGGCCTGGATGCTGACCCTGAGCTGTTCAGCTCAAGGCTCAAGCTCTACCTCTTGAGCCACAGCACTATTTCTGTTTTTTAGTGGTTTATTAGAGGTAAGAGTCTTATAGACTTTCCTGCCTGGGCTGGCTTTGAACCACAATCTTCATATCTAAGTCTCCTGAGTAGCTAGGATTATAGGCATGAGCCACCTGCACCAGGGGATGAAGAGAATTTTTGAAGCACAAATGCCACTGTCTCACAATGATTACAAACTGAAATGTGATTATATCTACACAGAAATTACAGTGACCCAAATCTGCTCACCTGCACTGGTGTAAACTGAACCTACTGAATGTAGGCCTCACTTGTGGTGGGAGGCTCACACCATTGCCTCTGAGCATCAGTTACCAAACTGTACCTGCTTTGTTGCATCCATTTCCAGTGCATGTTTCCATTTGTCAGCCGTCTGCTGCCCACAACATCACTCACAGCATCATCCATACTGGGAAAATGTTATCTTGTCTAGAGTGCAGCCACCTGCTTTTCTTTGGATGAATGATCTTTGGATGCCTTTATAGAACTTCAGATTCTCCACATAGAGGCTTGAGATATGCATAATCTTCCCAGCTCCTTGTCACTTCGGTAGCCAGTTCCAGAAGCTGCTTTGCCTGTGTTTGGTCTCCTGAAACCTCTTGTGTGCAATAGCATCAGCTTCTGACTCTCAATGTGTCTTGGGAATCAAGAAATTATTTCCTTTCTCATTTTTCTTCAGGTTGAGTAGATTGGCAAAATAAAATCACACAGGTCTCAAAAGATATATGTAAAGTCACCTTGAACTCAGCAGGCTAAAGAAACTAAAATGTGTTTTTTCTTTTTCTTTTCTTTTCTTTTTGCCAGTCCTCATCCTTGAACTCAGGGCATGGGCGACGTCCTTGAGCCTATCTGTGCTCAAGGCTAGCACTCTACGACTACCTTCTTTTTGTTCTTAATATATATTTTTTATTGTTAAGATACTTCACAGAGGCGTTACAGTTACATGAGCAAGGTAATGAGTCCATTTCCTATCGAGAATTATTACCCTCTCCTTTATTTTCCCCTACCATCCCTTTCCTCCCTACCTTCCACGAGGTTCTTTTTTTTTTTTAATTGTGATTAAGTGATTACATTCCCAACTCTTCCCTTCCCTCCCTGCCCCCTGCAAAGTTGTAAAGTTTGTTTTCCACATCGTGTCTGTACATCTCATTGGTACAATGGGTCATCCTGGATCCTTATTTCAGCATTTTGTTATTTCCCTTCCCTTCCCCAAATTAGAAAAAATTTATATACAAGATGCAGGACAGTGGAATCAAATACAGTGACAACAGGGATTATAACAAGGGGGAAGAACATACAAAGAAACAACAAAAATCACATAGTACACTGTAAGTACATTAAAACAAACAACAACAAAGATGAAGCCTCTTGTGTCCCTATCTTGGGGTTCATTTCACTTAGCATCAGATTGTATGGTCATATGTACATAGCTTTTGACCTCTTCTGCTTGTCCCAGACATATACTAGTTATTGTAGATAAGGGAAACCATGGGACCTACGTTTCTTTGAGTCTAGCCTACTTCAACTAATGTATTTTTTCCAAGTCTTTCCATTTCCCAACAAATGGGGCAATGTCATTCTTTCTGATGGAGGCATGGAATTCCATTGTATATAAATACCACATTTTCCTGATCCATTCATCTACTGAGGTGCATCTGGACTGGTTCCATATCTTAGCTATGTCTATCACTACTCTTTTTGTATTTTTTATTGTAAAAAACTGTACAGAGGGGTTACAGTTACATGAGCAACGTAATGAGTACATTTTCTATCAAACATTGTTACCTCCTCCTTTGTTTTTCCCCTACCATCTTTTCCCTCCCACCTCCACAACTCTACCACTACTCTTTTTTTTCTACCACTACACTTGAACTACAGTGCCTCTTCAGGCCTTTTCTGAAACATAGGTCCCATGGTTTCCCTTATTTGCAACAATTTGTATATGTCTAGGATAATCTTAGCAGGTGAGCAAAATAGCTCAATAGCTATGTACATATAACCATGTAAGATGATGCTAAGTGAAATGAATTCCAAGACATGGACAGAAGAGGTTTTCCTTTGTTGTTGTTGTTTTCTAATGTACCGTGTGATTTCTTGTTTCTTTTGTATGTTGTTCCCCCTATGGTATATCCCCTGTTGTCACTGTATTTGATTTGGTACCCTGGGTTTTGCATATATGTTTATCTGAATTAAGGAAGGGTAGGGGAACAACAGAATGGTGAGACAAAAGGACAATATGGGAACCAATGCGACAGTGATAGTCACAAGACAACATGCTTGAAATGACCTGTGTAACTTGCAGGGGGTGTTAGAAGAGAGAAAATAGGACAAAATGAAGGAAGAGGTAACAAGTTTGACAAGAAATGTACTTATTACCTTACTTATGTAACTGTACATCAACTTGACAATAAAGTGATACATAGAAGATAAAAAAAAAGAATCTCCTGGAGTTTCCTGCACTGAGTGACTTTGAGCTCCAATCTTCAGATCTCAGCTTCCTGAGAAACTAGGATTACAGGTGTGAATCAATGGTGCCCAATTTAAAATAATTTTCAATACCTGTCACTGCTAAAATTATTCTTTAAAACATTAGGATATTTCCATTAGCATGCCAATACAGTCCATATGTATGGCATAAGCTTTTATATTCTACATTTAAAGCAAAAAAGTAAATGTTATGGATGTGCTGGATGTTTTGGTTCCATTTTTATTAAAAAATTAGGCTACTAGAATTCATGTGAAAACAACAAGGACTCAGAAAATATGAAATAAAAGCATTAGTTTCAAAGGGAAAAGATACTAGAATATTATATATGGTACTTCACTTCTGATCGGTTTTAATAAACAGCTTTATCTACATCCCATTCTATTACTGTAAGTTTATTGAGATGCATGTTTCTGTGCATAGACAGGCAGAACAAAACAGGGAAAATAGGCAAGGTATTCACAAATAAAATATACATTGAGTAGTACATATTAGTTCTTGTCTACAAGATAATCAAAACACCCTCAAAGGATCCCATGGTCCAAGAGCTGGTGGCTCATAGCTCTAATCCTAACTATTCAGGAACCTGAAATCTGAGTATTGGGGTTCGAAGCCAGCCTGAATAAGAAAATCAGTGAGACTCTTCTGTCCAATAACTGCCAGAAATCCAGAAGTAGAGCTGTGGTTAAAGTGTTAGAGTGCTAGACTTGAGCCAAAGAATTCAGAGATAGAGCCATCCCCTGATTCTAAAACTAAAACTAACATAAATATATTTGTTTGAACAAATTTTGAGGTATTTCTCAGCTTTTTAAATCATCATCCTACTTTCATTTAATTGTGGATATTAAAAATTTTGTATTTAAATATTTCAAGCTCACAGATATATTTATTGTTTATATTTGGCAACTTGGTCAACAAAATAAGAAAATAATGTTTTTCTGCTGTCTTTTCAGTTGTGAAGTTCTGCTTTTTCCACTGGGACCTTGGCAAATTGTCTATTTTTTATTTTTACTGTTTTATTGGAAAATTCTGGAAAGTTTAATAAAGTAGAAGAGAAGATATGAAAACAGGAACTGAGGACTAAGAATATGAGATTAGGGAATCCAGACAAGGAAATCAAACAGGGAATGAAGCTGTGGACAACAGTAGGAAGAGTCATGTCATTAAGGGAGAAGACAGAACAGTGGGAGGATGGAGGATGAACTGGGTGCATAAACCAAAAACTCCTTCCAGGGTTCAGATGCTCATGAAGCTGAGGAACTGTTGTGTATACCCCTGTATGTATAGATATGACATCGAAGTTAGAGAGGTTGAGAAGCTTGTATAGTGATAAGGGGAATTTCTTTGAGGTCATTTGATGAACGTGGATTCATAGAGAGAAGCTGCAGGCCAAGGAAGGAAGAGGGAAGTGAAATCTGGAGTGGAGAAGGCAGGCTGTGCAAGAAGGACACATTTCCCTCTCTGATCTGCAAGTTCTATGAAGAGAGTTTTCAGGTGGGAGAGACAGGAAGTCTGTACCGAGTCCTGAGCAGCAGCATTGCAGAATCAGACATCAAGCGCAGCCCTGAGCTCCTGAGGTCCTCTCTGGGAGATGCTGCTCCTGCCACTTGTGTTGCTAGCTGTGCTCTTCCCAGCTGGGGACAATCAGGATGGTAAGAGCAACTGGGGTAGCAGCCTGCCCTGTGCGGAGGGTCTGGATAAAGACAGGCTGCACTAAGTCTGGTGAGCTTGGTCAACTAGTCTCTGAGGTCTCCAGTGTCTTGACCATTCTGGAAGTTGGGGCTGGAGTCTGAGGACCAAGGCTCTTAAAGGAATAGTGCTCATGGGTTGCACAGATTCTGAGTTTGTGTTTTCACATCTTCTCAGTGTCCATGCTTTCATCCCTCCTCCATCCCATTCCTTCCTTTCTTTACATCTTTCTCTCCTTTATTAACAGCCTTCCAGGATCCAATCCGTCTGCACTGCATTCAGATCTCATCATTTGCCAACAGCACGTGGGCACAAACTCAATTTTCAAGCTGGCTGAATGATTTGCAGATTCATGGCTGGGACCGTGAGTCAGCCACTCCCATATTTCTGAAGCCTTGGTCCAAGGGGAATTTCACTGATGCTGAAGTGACAGAGCTGTTGGAGCTAATCCGAGTGTACTACTACGGATTCATTGATGAAGTGCAAAAACATGCCAGTGATTTCCAGTTGCAATGTGAGCACTGTTGCCTCTCCTCCTTCTCTCCCCTGCCTTGAATCCCTCTCTCCAGCCCTATTTGCCTGCACACCTTTCTCTAGAGCAATCTCTACATCTCTTTGAAGTACTCAGATCTGTCTGCTTTTCCTTTGGTCTCTGATGTAGGAAATCACTTTCTTTGTGACCAAGGCCTTGGTTTTCTTGTAAGAAACTTGTCCTGACTTTCCTTCCCTGTGCCGGAATGCCCTAAAATCTGATGTCTTCTTACTCAATTTTGGTGACTTTATCCATCTTGATAGTTCCTCTCTAAGTGAGTATTTTATTTCTCTCAGGATGCTGAATTTTTTTTTTGTTGGTCATGGCTTCAATTCTGAGCCTGGGTGCTGTCCCTCTGCACTTCAGCTCAAAGCTAGGGCTCTACCACTTGAGCCACAGCACCAGTTAGGGCTTTTTTTTACTTATGTGTGCTGAGGAATCGAATCCAGAGTCTCACGCATGCCAGTCACACACTCTACCACTGAGCCATCTTCCCAGGCCCAGGTTGCTGAAATTTTGACTCCAAGTCCCTGATCCTCAACCCACCTGTTCTATCTCCTTTCCACCATCACACTCCCTACTCTGGCCCATCCATGCCATGCTTGCCCCTTCTTAATGCTCCTCTATCTGAGAGCCTCTAAGCGTTCTAATAGTTTCAGCGCATCATTTTATACTCCTGAATTATATGCTCATCAAATCTGAAATCCTGAACTCTTTCCACAGTTTTTATTTCTGGTTTGCTGTTTAGTAGCTGAACTTTTATCTCTTTTCATCCTCCTTAGATCCCTTTGAGATCCAGGGCACAGCAGGCTGTGAGCTGCATTCTGGGGGAGCCATCCTAAGCTTCCTGACAGGAGCATTAGGAAAACAGGATTTACTGTATATCAAGAATCACTCCTGTGTACCTGCACCAGAAGGTGGCAGAAGAGCTCAGAAGTTCTGCACATTCATTGACCAGTACAAAGGTATCTCGGAAATCGTGGACACTCTCCTCTATAAAACCTGCCCCGGATATCTCTTGAGCCTTCTTGAAGCGGGAAAGGAGGATCTGGAGAAGCAAGGTTTGTCCTGCTCTGTTTCCCTTTTGACCACCTTCCTTAAACTTAAAGAGCATCATAAAATTAATTTATTCCAAGTAAAAATACAAAATAATATTATGACATTGACCAGATATGAAAGGCCCTCCCAGAAACAACTCTATTGATGATGAAGAGAATACCTCTTTAAAGAAAATATGAAATAAAATGAAAAATATGTAAGTCTGTATGATTTTTCTTTTAGCAAAACAACTTTTTTAGATTCTTTTTTTATTAATAAGTTTAATTTATCATGAAAATACCATACAGAGGGGTTACAATTACATGGGCAAGGTAATGAGTACATTTCTTATCAAGCATTGTTGACTCCTCCTTTGTTTCCCCTTCCCATAACCTCCCCCTTTGTTTCCCCTTACCTTTCCTGCTACCCCTCCACCCCCGCCCACCCCAAAGTTGTAAAGTTTGTTTTTTGGCATAATGTCTTGTACATCTCATTGTTGTAATGGGTCCACATGTATCCCTATTTAAGCCTTTTGTTTTTTTCCTTCCACTCCACAAATTATACCAATATCAAATACAGTGAAAACAGGAGTTATACCGTGGGGGAGGGACATACAAAGCAAGAAAGAAATCATCTTATAAATACATTAGAAACAATAGCACGAAAGAAACCTCATTTGAGTCCTAATCTTGGGGTTCATTTCACCTAACATCAACTTATCTGAACTTTTCTGCTTGTCTCAGACATATAATAGTTATTGTAAATAAGGGAAACCATGGGACCTATGTTTCTTTGGCTCTGGCTTCCTTCACTTAATATAATTTTTTCCAAGTTTTTCCATTTCCTAACAAAGGTGGCAATGACATTCTTTCTGATGGAGGCATAGAATTCCATTGTGTATATATACCACGTTTTCTTGATCCACTCATCTATGGAGAGGCATCTGGATTGGTTCCATATCTTAGCTATGGTAAATAATGCTGCAATAAACATAGTTGTGCTGGTAGCTTTAGTATGGTCTTGTTTGTGATCATTCGGGTAAATGCCCCAAAGTGCGATTTCTGGGTCATAGGTGAGCTGTGTCTGGATTCTTCTAAGAAACCGCCATAGAAGTTTACACTCCCACCAACAATGCAGTAAGGTTCCCTTCTGTCCACATCCCCTCCAGCATCTGTTGTTATTAGAGTTCTTGATTATAGGCCATTCTAACTAGGGTGAGGTGGTATCTCAGTGTTGTTTTGATTTGCATTTTTTTATGGGTAGGGAGGTTGAGCATTTCTTCGTGTGTCTATTAGCCAACCTTCTTTCTACTTCAGAGAAGTTTCTCTTTAAGTCTTTAGCCCACTTATTTTTCGGACAGTTCCTTCTTTGATGATTTATTGTTGGGGGATTTAATTTTTTGAGTTCCAGATATATTTTAACTATGAGTCCTTTGTCTGTTGTATGGCTAGTGAAGATCTTCTCCCAATCCGTGGGCTTTCTATTGATCTTGCTAGCTATGTCCTTTTCCATGCCAAAGCTCTGCAACTTCATACAATCTCATTTTTCCAACCTGTTTTTGATTTGTTGTGTTTCTGGGTCTCTATGAAGAGAATTTAAGCCGGTGCCAAGAAGACTTAGGGTTTCTCCTATTCTGTCAAGTAATGTTTTCAGGGTGTCTGCATTGACTCTAAGGTCTTTGATACATTTGGAGTTGATTCTGGTGCAGGGTAATTTATGAGGATCTAGCTTTATTTTTCTACAGGTGAGTAACCAATTTTGCCTGCACCATTTACTGAAGAGGCTGTCTTTGTTCCATTCTATTTTTTTTAGCTCCCTTATTGAAGATTAGATGGCTATAGGTCTGTGGGTTCATTTCTGGGTTTTGAGTTCTATTCCATTGGTCCTGAGGTCTGTTCTTGTGCCAGTACCAAGCTGTTTTTATTACTATGGCTTTGTAGCAGAGTTTGAAATGTGGTATTGATATTCCTCCAGCACTGTTTTTGCTATTCGGGGTCTTTCATTGTTCCATATGAATTTTTGGGTTGTCTCTTCTATTTTCTTGAAGAATGAGGTTGCAACATTGAAAAGTATCACATTGAATTTGTAGATAGCCTTGGGAAGTATTGGTATTTTCATGATGTTGAATACCAGCATGAAGTATTTGACATATTTTAGAGTAGAAAAATGATTTCAGTGAATTACAATGTTTAAAGTTTGCAATGAAAACAAATCCTCAATAAAGATGTATGCCATTTTTCCTTTTCTCTTATTTTTATACAAACAGTACAAACAGTTGCATGCAATAACAAATTGTAGAGGTTAGAAGAAAGAGTGAGAATCCATCAGTCATTGATTTTGTTACCAAGGAAGTGGGGGGTCAATGTCCAAACATGTGGACTTTGAAGTCCATATGCCCCAGGTTAGAGTTATTTTCTAGTATTGTCTCTGCTTCTTCCTGCTCCAGTGAAGCCTGAAGCCTGGCTGTCCAGTGGCCCCAGTGCTGGGCCTGGCCATCTGCGGCTGGTGTGTCATGTCTCTGGCTTCTACCCAAAGCCTGTGTGGGTGATGTGGATGCGAGGTGAGCAGGAGCAGCTGGACACCCAGAGAGATGACTTCCTGCCCTATGCTGATGGGACGTGGTATCTGCGAGCAACCCTGGATGTGAAAGCTGAGGAGGCGAAGGGCCTGAGCTGCCATGTGAAGCACAGCAGTCTAGGGGGACGGGCCATCGTCCTCTACTGGGGTGAGAGAGAGCTGGAGTTCTGGCTGGGAGTGGGAGCGGGTGGCTCTAAAGCAAAGAGGGAGAGGGTGTGTGAGGGACAGGTAATGGAGAGGAGGAAGGGCTAGAAGACATTTGGTGGGAGAAGGGGGACAGGAGGCAGGCCGAATGGGCAGGTATAAGGAAGAAGATGATCCAAGGACATTTAGAAAGATACTGAGCTGGGCATGAGAGCAGTTCCTTGTAATCTCAGCACTAGTGAGTTTGAGACACAGCATGACAATTTAATGGCCAAATTAGCTTATATAGGGAGACAATGTCTCAAAAGTAGTGATGGTAACATGTGTGTTTGCATGTGTTCACACTCAGTATATTGTCCACCCTTAAATAGATGCAGTTCTTAGCTGGGTGATAGTGGCTCATGTGTGTAATCCTAGCTCCTTGGGAGGCTGATCTCTGAGGATCAAGGTTTGAAGACATCCCAGGCAGACAAATCCCTGGGGTTCTCATGTCTAGTTAAGCAGACAAAAGTCAAAAGTGGAGATGTAGCGGGAGTGGTAGAGCACCAATGTGGAGCAAGAAAAGCTAAGGGAGAGTGATAGAGTCTGAGTTCCAAGTCCAGTAGTGACAATATTCTATCTATCCATTTTATCTCAGTAAAGTTGTTAACCTCAGACTCCCCCCAAAATTGGGATGATAAGAGGATGGTTAGCTAGGCAAAGGAAGGCCAGGTAATAGAGCAAGTGTCATTAGAAGTGACAATTGATTACTCTTCCAATCCACAGGGTACTCTGTCTCTGTTGGTTTAATCATTGCTGCAGTAATAGTGCCTTGCTTGATCCTTTTGCTGTGCCTTGCACTGTGGTTTTGGAAGCGCTGGTGAGTATTTTTTAACCCTTCTTCTCTGTCTGTTTCATACTTTTTATCTTTCATCTACTAATAGCCCATTAGTTGTCCTCTTTCTACCAAGAGTTGCCTCTTAACCTTGATCCCTGGGGAGAGGTAATTTAAAGAATTTTGGCAAAATACATCTAACATAGAAATATTACCATCATTAGTGCTTCTAACAATATTAAGTACATAGATGCTGTTTTGTTTGTTCTCCTTGCAATGTGAAACTGTCCTCACATTTGAAGCCATGTTTCCTTCCCCCCTTCCCCAGGCCCTGGGATAGTGACTCTTGTTCTTTTGCTTTCTATGGATGTGATTGGAATTTCACGGTATTCATCCTGTGACTGGCCTCTTACTCTTAGCCATCTGTTGTCAGAGTATATCTCTATGGCAGCTACGTCAGAGTTACCTTTCTTCTTCAGGCTGGGTCCTTTCCACCGCATGTCTAAATACCATAAGGAGCAGTTGAGCTGCTTCTTCCATTGGGTTCTGTGAATAATGCTGTTATATGACTGTGTTCATATCTCTTATATATTTTTTTAAAACTTACATTCTTTACAGGTCATATGATGGTATTCCATGAGCTCCCAACCTTTCTTCCCTCTCATTTGGAATAAGTACCAAGACACTGAGAAACCTGTGGACTCAAGAGACAGTTTTGTTATGTCAATAATTATTGTTTTGGCAGGAAATCATGAGCTTCATATCATTTTTTCAGTTAATATGTGTTACAATGACTGATTGCTCATATGGCAAAACAAAACTCTATGGTTTCATCTTTCCTACTTGTTGAGAATGTATGCATTTGGATTTAGTTTGAGAATATTTGGTTCTAGTTTTTCATCTACCTGTATTTGTTTCTAGCTTTATTCTTGTTAGGTATTGGTATGAATGAGTTTTTGACTTCATAAGATGAGTTATGTTTCCTGTCTTGTTACTCTCCAGAGTATGGGCAGCATGGCTGTGTTTGTGAAGAATTGGATGATTTCACTTTTAAGCCTTTTATGTTGGGAAATATTTTGTCAGGAAAGTTATGTTTATGGTCAGATTTTTTCTCATTAAATTTCTGGGCTTTATTTCTTGTTTAATATCATCATTACATATTACACAAAATTAAAGGAACAATATATTTGGTATTTATAAATTATTAAATAAAAATAAAGGAATATATATTTATCTTTACAGAGCTTTGCTTTTCTTCTAAACTAACCAAATCTTCTGCCATTTTATGATATTAAAAAAGTAAACTAGTTTATGCATGCCCGAGAATAAATTGGGAGTGTGATTAATAATCGCAAGCCTCATTTGTTTCTTCCTTGGACCAAGGAAAGTTGCTCTTTGTCCCTTTGGGCTCAGGAGAGCAAGAAACATACTCTCTATCTATTTAATCTTTAAAAATGGTTATTACATTTATTTCCCTCATTTAATAAGGGAGCCATACTCAGACTTCTTGGCCAAGAAACTCTAGCTTCTAAAGAGAGTCTCCAGTTTTCCCTGGAAGAACAAACTCTGGGGTTTCCGTTGCCCCTCAAATTAAGGGTAGAACAGATCAAAACTGTCCACTGTGGTCCCACCTAAGCTATGCTTCTTGGAATACAGACCAACCTGTTCTCTTTCCAGAAAATAGCCTCTTCTTCCACTCAGGTGTGAAGGTCCCAAAAGAGGAATTTCAGTAACCTCAGCCTGGTCCCTGTTTCTCCTCACTTCTGAAGGCCCCCAGGAATACTAACTGGATTGTTGTCCTGTGGTGGAGGGTTGATGAAGCATCTGCTTTGGACCTGGGGGAGCTGATGACTTATTCAGTGGTTTTCCCAAGTCTTTCAGCAGCAAACCGCCTCATGCAAATGAAATGTTACCCTGAACCCCAATATGAAACACAGCTACAAGGGGAGCTGTTCTGGTTAAGGGTGAGTTACCCAGTCTGCTCACCTCTCCCAACTCACACCCCTTTACCTCCCCAAGAAATTCAGAGGCTCAACCCCTAAAATACCTTGATGCTTTGCCAAGCAGTGTGTAAGCCACTGGCCTAGTTTGTCCTGATCAAGTCAAAGGTTCCTCTGTACCCCAACTGCTTGCCATAGATAGGCTCTGAGTTTATGGTTCAGCACACTCAATAACAGACCAAGTGGCTCATACAGTTTAACCACCTCCCCCTTAAATACAATTAAAAACTGCAGCCCTCTCTCAAAAGCAAAAGTGTGGACTAAATACCTGAGGCCAATTTGGTCCCACATTCCAGCAAGCATAATTAGGATGCCACATTCTAGGACAAGGGAAAAATCTCGAAGCAGTCAATGGTGGTCTGGCTAAGCTGATGAGTGCTCAGGACCATGGCAAGGTTCTAGAGCACTGTGAAAGAAATCAGTGTTGGAGAGCAGCAATTTGAGCACCTTGGAAAGTGCAGCAGTGAGGTCTGACTCAGGTCCTGTGTTTGGAATAAATTTTTCCCTCTAAAGAAAAAGCTATAGTTTGGATTTGTTCTAGAGGACTGTTGAGGCCTAAAGTTAGTGTCCTCAGACTCTGAAGTAGAGACTAATAATGTAAATGCAAACAAGGTGGCTTCAAAGGAAATATAAAAATGCTTGTAAGTATTCTAGAACCCACACACCTGACCCCTGAAAAAGCAGCACCAAAGCCCACTTCAAAACATATGCCAGTAATGGAATACCTGTCACCATTACACCATGGGGCTCAGAGCTGGAATGTTCCTCTCAGGGCATCAAAAATCTCACTGAGACAATGCAGGACCCAGACTGTATTCTAGATGAGCATTTATGCCCATACCCAGGAAAGGAAAATCAGAGCCCCAATTTAGAGTTTCAGTGTAGGTGCAGAGGTCCCCCAAATAGGCAACAATTTAGGCACCATTGTGTCCCAGTGGGAGGGAAGGGCAGCAGGCAGTTTCAGCCACCAAAACCTCCACCCAGGCAGGCTCCACTGCCCTGTCCTCAATCAGCACAGGAGGCATCAGCAAGTTCAAGATGCACAGAGGGGATGAGGAAGGAATAAGGCCAGTTTCAGAGCAGCTGCTTTCTCCAAAGCCCTGCCAGTGACTTTCTGCAGAGAGGTGCCAGAGTCCTCCCTCGGTCTGGATACAGTGTTTCTTGCTTAACCTTGAGGCATGGAGAAAGGGGTGAAATTGTGAGGGTCGGGGGAGGGAGAGGAAGGACAAAGACCTATAGCTTCTTGTTCTTTACATTGCAAGAGGGAATGTTTTCTCCGTGAAGAATCTTTCCATCACCCGATTAGACAAACAGTCCAGCGTGCACAGGAGCACACGTGCACATGCACACACATCCAAGCAGCCCTCATCCATGGCCACCTCTCCCAGTCACCTCATTACCAAGGTTTCATTCCAAAGGGATGCACCTTCTGGGGTCCCAAATCCCACTCAGCCAATGGGGCACAATTCCTCATGCAAGTCCACCTTCCTTGGAGTTCTAAAGCCAGCCTCAAGTGGTTTCCTATGCTCATCCTACAGAGCATCCTATAGATCATTCCCCCTTCCTCCCTCCCAATTCCTGGAATGGTTGCATCTCCTAGACTCTCACCATCGTAAAACATTCCCCAATATCTCTTGCTCACTCTTCCAGACACCTGCCTTGCTCCCTCATGCATGACCTTCCTTCCCCTGCTCTTCCTGCTCCATGACCATTCATTCCTCTCCTTTATCCCCCCCTCACCCCTGCCTTGTTCCAAAGGCATTCTTTGTGTTGTCTTTGCTCTCCTGCGCCCTCCTTCCTTAGCCAAACTTAGCCACACCTGGCCCCCGACTTTCTCTGACTTGCTACCAAAAAGTGCCCCTAAGGTTAGTTACCAGGGTCCTCAGTGCCATAGCCCCATTCAGCACAGCCCTCACTGATGCCCAGTGCTCCTCCCACTGACACCTGGCCTCCTCCCGGGCCTCCTCCTGTATAGAGCTGTGAACTCTGCCCAGACCGCTCTGCTGTGGATCCAGTCGGCCAGGCATGTGTCCAGGTATGCCATCATCCACTCCTGCCCCAATTGGGGCTCCCTTGGAAAAGTTCATCAGAGACCTGGGTGAAGTTGCTGGGCTGAGTCTGTGGTGCCATGCAGCTGAGCTGCCAGAACAGAGAAGGAGTGTGGGAAGTGGGTCTCAGGTTCATCTCCAGCTACCTCCATGGCTTGATGCAGCAGGTCAGCTTCTGGACCCTCCTCAGGCCCAGCTCCACAGACATAACCCTCTGCCTCACTTTATAGTCTACAAAGTCAGCCACCAGAGGCTGCCTGTATGGGGCTGAAGCTTGGGTCACCATCTGGGCGACCAGCCTGGATGGCAGCCCTCAGGACCCAGCTTTGGTGGCAAGGAGCTTGCAGCTGGGGCCTTTCATCTTCCTGGCCAACGTGGAGCTCTGGTAAGGGGAAGAAGAGATCAGAACTTGGTGGAGAAGGCCTGGCTTGAGAGCTGGCCTGGGAAGGGCTGGGATCTCCTGGGACTGGGCCCCTGCCACCAACGTTCCACCAGCTGTGGTAGAGTCTATGTCAAACCAGCTCTGGTAGAGTCCAGGTTCTACCAACTGTAGCCAAGTCCATGTGCTTTGAGCCCCTACAGACACTTCCTACCTACAATACCCTAGGTTTTCAGTCCCTTTCCTCCTGACTCTTCCTTTGTACTCCTTTAAACCACACGTCTACATTTTCAGATCTAGTTAGGTTGCTGTCCCAAGTGCCAGTATGATTGTTTCTGGTACTCACTTTTCCATTATTATAATGAAATAGGTCAGAAAATCAACTTAGAAGGAGCACATGTCTATGTAGCTCATGTTTCTGGAATGTCTAGTGTAAAGTTGGGCAGTTCTATTGTTTTGGTTCTTTAGGAGAGTGCAGCTGACAAGGATAAGAGTGTGTCTCAGAATAACCATTGACAGCCTGAGTGGGGATGCAGAGAGGAGGGAGAGACAGAGAGAGAAGGACAGAGAGGGAAGGAGGGAGGGAAGGAAACCTGTAACACATCCAATTTGTAGTGGAGCGAGTGAGGAAAGGAGAGAGAGCAATCTGTAACACATCCAGTTTGTAGCAGTGAGTTCGGTCATTCATTTGGGGGCTGAAAGGAAGAAGGCTATATGCATCACACACTTGAGGCAAATAATCAGCAGCTCTAGCAGAAGCAAGTATTTAATCTCTTTTTTTCTAGATCTCATATAGGTTTGGATTTAGGAGGAGGGAAAAAGAGGCTTCTTATAGAATTCCTATAAAATTAGCCATTATATCTGAATGTTAGATGTACAATGTATAATCAGTCACAGCTGTAGAGCCTTAGAGAAGTTGTCTTCCTCATTTGTAGGCTTCATGCAAACTGGGAAGCCTTCCCCCATCTCCAACCTCTGCCATTCTGGAAGCTGGTGCCACAGGGCAGGCTTAAATGGTTAAACACACCCTCCCTCCAGCATTCCACATTCTCTTGTTCAGATCTCAACCTTATAGCTCTCACCCAAATACAATAGAGTAGGAGAATTTGTGTTTCTCCTGTCCTTGTACTGTCATGGCAAAAAATCCCCCAATGTGACAAATGTCTGGCTTTCTATCTGCTATTTATTTCTAAAATCCCAAAGTGAGAACTTGCTGGAAATGAAGGCAAAGCCTTGTGCTTTTGAGGAACTTGTATAGGGTTTATGCTGTGTCTCAGTGTAACCATGTTGTTAGTTCATGGACACTGTCAGGTGTCTGTGGCAGTAATAGGAAAAGATGATTGAGGGGACACCCAACCTCTTTATTAATGCAGACAAATGTGATATTTAGGGGGCATATGTGCACATAGGATATATATATATATACACATATTAAAAACAAGAGTATATAATAAAATGTATACATTTGTTAATTTAAAAAGGAAGAATTGCACCTTCACCTTCATGAATGTTAATTTGGGAACACTATCATAATAGATGTATTGTCTGGGATCTAAAATTGATGTTATATTCAGATGTTGAGATATAACATAGACAGTAACAGAATTACTAACAAAACACTAAGTAGCTCGCATAATTTACCTATATAAATTCAATATAGAAACTGCTGTCTTTTTAGGATGATGTATGTTTTGTGCTGGTTGGGGTTTGAATAAGTTCCTGCTGTTTTTTTTTTTTTGTCGTGGGGGCTTGAACTCTGGGTCTGAGCGCTGTCTCTCAGCTCGTCAGTTTAATGCTAGCTCTCTACCACTTTAGCTACAATGCCACTTCCAGGGCCTGCTGTTTTTAAGCTTTTCATTGATCAAGTCTGGTGCTCCACCACTTGAGCCATAGTGCCACTTCTGGTGTTCTGTTGGTTAATAGGAAATAAGCGTCTCAGAGTCTCTTGTTCATGCTGGCTTTGAACTACAGTCCTCAGATATTAGCTTCCTTAGTAGCTAGGATTCCAAGCATAATCTATTAGGTCTTGGCTGGACAATATATTTTGATGAGGTCACAAATTTACCTTAAATATAGATATTGGTTTTCACTGCAATGCTGCCTTTTGTCCTTGCTATCACCCAAGAAATTAGCCTTTACGTGGAAACGAATACCGCACAACTAAAATCTTAATTATAGGCTCATCACGAAGTCTAAATGCATTCTTGGGTAGTCAAATGTTGCTCAAGAAAATGTTTAAAAAAATCCCATCAGGTTTGTAGGTGGGATTCCATGCATGAAAATATTATTCACCAGAGTGCATTACAGTCCTGAATGTCCTTCTGCAGTTGGGAATGCTGTGGCAGATGAGATTATCCTGTCAATCTCCACATGCTCACATGCTTGATGAGATACCTGTGGACGGATAGGTATTTTGGTGAATAAATACATGAATTAGACTCAGTAGAAGGGCTTATTCATAGTTTCATAGACGTGTGTACAAACAATGTCTGCAATGTCACCACTAAGGCAGTGGTGGGTGCCTGGAGCAGTCACAGGAGATATGAGACCACAAATTCTCCAATTTACAAAAGAACCAGTGATTCTCAAGAAATGAGAAAGGATAAAGGGTGAGAAGGAGCAGAGATGAGTTTCAGGACACCTGGAATGGGGAGGAAAGGCTGGGTTGATCAGAATAAGAGACATGTAGAAGTCAGGATGGCCGAGCGGTCTAAGGTGCTGTGTTCAGAATAAGAGACACGATTGAGTGTAGAAACACAGTTATGTATAGAAACTGGGCAACCATACAACTTCTCCTTTGTAATTTTACAGCTAGATGAAGTGACGTTTGCATGTCACACACCCCTTGGAAGAGGAACAGCTGAGGAAGAGAGTTACATGGGGGCAGAACTTAGTGAAAAGGAGGGTGGCTGGAAATGAGAGAGAAGGGAATGACTTGAGTTCAGATGGGAGGGAAATGAAGGATGGAGTAGGAAGGTGAGGCTTAGAAAATAGAAAGGTTTTCTTATATTCAGTTGCTGTTGGAAACCATTGTTTGTTGGTGGGAGAAGGAAGACAGAAGAGAGTTGAGGCAGGGTAGCTTAGTTGCTAGCAGACATCAAAGATCAGCTTTGTTTAGAGAAGGAAACACACATCTGCTTATGCTATGCTGTTTCTTCAACTTCCACTTCTGGCTGCTCTCCTCCCAGGCAGTGTCAATGCGGAGGGTAAGAACATCTCTGTCAGCTACTTAGCCGGGTGGATGGGAGTGGATTTTAGTTGGCTTTCTAAGATATTTTACTGTGAATGCTAAGCTTCTTATAACCTGTTTCTTGGCGTTCAAGTCCAGTTGATTGTTTTTGAGGATGGTGCTAGAGCACCAAGGGCTTGGGGAGGGAAATTATTATTGATGAACTGGTTGTTATTCTTCTCTCTCTAGTAACTGGTTTGTTTTCTATCCTCTCTCTGTTTTGCTTATGTTTCCACTTATGCTACTGGACATTCATCCATCCATAGTGATCCATGAACATACCACATTTCGTCTAAGCCAGATCTCATACTATGCCAATGAATCCTGGGCACAAACTCTGGGGTCTGCTTGGCTGGATGAATTACAGACTCATCGTTGGGACAGTGAAACAGGAACAGTAATTTTCTTGCACACATGGTCCAAGGGAAACTTCAGTAATGAGGAGTTGACAGATCTGGAGCTGCTTTTCCGTGTGTATATGATTGGGATACGTCAGGAGATTCATACCTACTCCACAGACTTGGGGCTTAGGTGTAAGTTAAACCAGTTGGGATAATTCTTCAGAGGGTTCTTGTAATTGAAATCCTTTCTCTATTCCTTTTGATGAGATTTCTTATCATCTCATCTCACAACGAAAGTCTCCATGCCTCCATCTCTCCAGTTATGTGTTGAACATTAATCAAAACTACCTAAATTTTTGCCACTTCAGCAGTCTCTTCTATTGTGCTTTGTTGTGTTTTCTTGTGATCTTCATCTGTGTCTTTAAGATAGAGGTAGAGAATTGTCTTATCCTATGCTTGAGTCTTTTAAAATATAATTCCTGCTGCTATTTCTTCAATTTCTTTAGACATTTGGACTCATTATCTAGCACTTGTGATGCTGACTCTATGCATCATGAGATTTGGGCTCCTGTCTCTCTGAAGTACCTAGTCTGTATTATGTCAGTCTCTTCTCTCATTGGTCAATCTTTAATTCAAGGACTTTGTTATTTCCTTCCTTCTCATCTTCAGCAGATATTTGCTCTCCCTTGTTTCCCATTGGATGTATCTTTGGCTCACTCTCGTACATAATATGACCCATCTTTGCACTCTTCTTTTTGAGATGAGGCCCTTAGATTCTAACCTGGCTTTCATTTTTGTTTTTTTGAACTCTTTATCTCATTCTTTCCTTTCTGAAGATCCTGTTGAATTACAAGTGAGTCTTGGCTGTGAGCTGTCCTCTAGCGAGAGTGCCAAAGGCTTCATGCAGGCGGCCTTGGAAGGATCAGATTTTCTAAGTTTTCAGAATACAACTTGGGTGCCATCTCCTGAAGGTGGGAAACAGGCCCAGAAGGCGTGTGATCTCCTCAATCTGTATGAGGGCATCAAGCAAATCGTGGAGAACCTCATGAGCAAAACCTGCCCTCGGTTTCTCTTGGGTATCCTGGATGCAGGAAAGATGTATCTTCAGAGACAAGGTCAGTTCAACCTTTCCCTCAAAGGTTTTTTTCTTCATGTCTTCCCCTTCTCATCTTCCTGTTTGCACTCAGGACATGGTGGAGGACAAGAGGGAGTGGGTTTCAGGGTGAGAATTCCCTAAGGGAGACAAAAGACATTAGGCAGATATCTATGTACTGAAGCCATGTGTTAGGTGCACATCTGTCCTCATGTGACTCCCTCTTGTATTCTCTACAGTGAGGCCAGAGGCCTGGCTGTCAAGCTCCTCTATCCTTGGGTCTGGCAGACTAATGTTGGTTTGCCACGTCTCTGGTTTCTACCCAATGTCCATTTGGGTGATGTGGATGAAGGGTGAGCAAGAGCAAGTGGACAGCAAACGCGATGATGTTCTTCCCAATGCTGATGGGACTTGGTATGTTC